CGTGCTGTCAAACCTACACTAGCAAGGAGATCGGGCTGAAACTATAGCTACAAGCTATCCAAGGATGGTACTATAGAATGTCACCTCAAGGTAGGCCTAGTGGCGTCATCTCTTGGTTAGGCCGGAAACTTATCAATCCACCCTCGTATGTCCCTGACTAGACCTTCCTGTCTAAGAAGGCGCCCTACCAACCTATCCATTTTCTATTTCTACCTATCGTATTTCTTCTTCCATAGAGTCCCCTGTTCTCCTATTCTTTCTAATTTTTTTTCTATCCTTTGTACTACGGTATCCTCATCATTCCCCTACAATATTTCGAATACTTCTAACCTTTTCTTTTCTACCGTGCCCTGTTTCGCACCCGTACAACGCCGCGCTGCAAACAATCTTTACGGAATTTCTAAATTAATTGTTCGCAAGTATAGAAGTGACTTCTTATTATTGAAGGCGATTCGACCCTGCGCTATCCTCTGCTTTATATTCCTACTACTCCTTCCGTCCTGATTTATCTGACTAACAAAGTTTCGAGTAATTGTTAATGGTTGCTGTTCTTAGAACATGTTCCACTTAATCAAATTCATTAGCATTAGCTATAAAAAACTAGCCCTGAGAATGCCCAACAACTTGGGCGAAACGTCTGCTGTGGCGTTTTGAATAAATGCAGCACTTTTAATATCCCAATGCTGCTTCGATTTAAACAACCAACGGTAGGATATTACATCAGCCTAATTTTGAAGAAGAGATATACTTTAACGAAAATACCTTGAAAATGTACTTATTAAAAAAAAAAAAAGGAAAACATAATGTCAATGTTAATCACAAGATCTTTAAAACGTGATCGATTATTTAATTTGGGGTATAGGCTCCAGACAGTCGTGCTCGACACATTATATGTATTACCTAATAACATTTGGCAAATGTCATTTCGGTGAATGACTCGACAAAAGATCGTAGGATGCTCCTGAAGCCGCAGTCGTGCTTTTGTTTTTATAATTATAATCTCCGCAGACTACGTACAAACACGACTCCATAACAGGGCGGAATTTCGTTACAGAAGAAGCGGAAGTAGTAAAGAAAATAGACCTAAATTACAGTGATTTATACAATCGGACCTCTCGTCAGCTTGTTAAAACCACCACACTGGCCGTCTGAATCATGCCGACCACGTATACCTACCCGTTATCATGCTAATGAGGGTGGAAGAAGTCCACATAAAAATCAGTTATAAAAGTTAATTTTTTCTAAATGATAATAATCTTGTCGACTAGGATTAATTTAGAAATTACGTACCTGTCGCTATTATTTTAGAATATAATAAATGATTGATACTATATCAAGTTTAAGCATACCTCATATATAGTTGAAATACTATTCAAATGCAAGTATTTTAACACTGTTCTTCATAGATTATTTAAATACAACTACCATTGATAAATATTAAAGCGATATTTACAATTTATCCCACTAGCCCGTTGCTTCGTAAGCGAAAATAATAAAAATTACAATTTGGTCTCGAATTTGTAAAAATAAAATCCCAGCTGAAATAAATTCACTAGGCATTTTAGTTGATATTACAAATTGATCCCCCAAGTGAAAATCGAAAGAGCTGCGGGGGTAGATTTCCCATACAAACTCGGCTGTAGCCCCTGAAAAATTGAAGCTTATATCCCAATTTTATTAAGCATAGTGAGTGCTACACTCTATCATTTAAATTAGTGTTTCAAATCTTTTATAATCCTATTTCATTTTTTGTCACTTCCATTCTCAATAACCAACTTATTTTAAATTGCAACACAATTTATTTGCTTACATCATTAAGCCCAACGTACATACATCCAAACTGTATTTTTTGAGTTATTTATTATTTTCTTAAAACTGAGAGTCTATTCCTAAGAGACTGCCACGAAGCAATCCGTAATTGTCCTGTGACGTCTTCCTATTTATTAGCTCATTAAAATGTTTCTAAATGAGGCTAAAAAATCTTAAAAATTCTATAAGTATAATAAATAATGCTTTTTTCTTTATCATTTTTGACCACATTATTTTCTGATGAGGATACCGTGGANGTTTTAACATTTATGTATTAGAAACGTTTTGATGGTATGTCATTAATATGTTAAATGCGCATGTCTGGTTTGTTTTTCATTTTTACAAATCATTCGTTTTCTCACTGTAAATGCAACAATTTTATTATTACTCAAATAAAAAATACATTTAAAAGTTAGCGTTTATATTGTATTTGTATGAGTGAAACGAAAGTGTAAATTTTCACAAGTTATTTTAGAGCTTAAGGTCACAGATTCGTTACACAATAACAGCTTCTTCAAGTGATTCTAAAATATTTAATTTTGTTCCTATATTAAAAATGTGTTTTAAGTTTAAAATCTGTATGACATTCATGATTT